CTCTTGTTGTTGTGTACCCACACAAAACCTAAGGGATGTTGTTGTGTTGCTACACAAAATCCAATTTTCCTGGGTGCCAAACAGGAAACTCAGGGTTGGCAAAAAACTGGTTGGTTCTTCCTGGCTTCGTGTTGGGCCAATGGATCCAGTGCCAGCTTTTCCCAGCTTGGACCCGGGCCTCACCTGACTTATTTTATTTTGGTGAGGGTTGGGCCCACAAGGCCCTGACTGACTGTTATTTTGTCGTTCTGTGCGCGTGTCTCGTGCCAGGTTTTTGCTGGACAATTGCTTCCAGCGATGTCCAGGCCATGGCGCCTCCTGTGTGGCCATTCTCTAAATTTAATTTGACGTTTAGCAATTTGATGCTTGCCCGATTGAGTTCGATTGGGCAGAATCTTGACAACCTGGGCGAAGGGTTCAATAATGAACGAATTGTTGCACCTTTGCCAAATAAACCTTGAAACAGGATGTTTTTTGTTGAGCGTCAACGTTGAGTCAACTGTGACGAACACTAGCTATTGGATTTCGCAGCCATTTTGTCGCTGGCCCGGCAACAGTTGTTTTGTGCATATGCCGAAACGCAAGTCGGGAGATGGTCCTGGAGGCAAGGCCAAGGCAATCAAGTCGGGGACCGACTCCTTGAGCGCAAAGGCTTCGAGCTTGAAACATATCCAGATCTTTGAAGAGTGGCTGCCACTTGGCCGACATCATTCCGTTGAACTTGCTGCATTCGATGTCATAGTTTTTCACCACGCCCCGTTTTTGGCAGCGTGCTCGAAAGGTCGGAGACCCTGACAGAACATGGCAGCCTTGACAAGTACTTTGACTACATGTTCGCCTCCCAGGACTGGTGACCCTTCTCATACCTACGTGTGGTTTCTGCTCGTGGCCAGGACCAGCTGTGCATTTTCCTCCAATGGGTTGACAAGTTTTTTCCACCGGAGGCCGGTGTGCTGCGTCCTTGGATGGCGCTGGATGATGGGACAGTCATTTTTGAACACCAAGTTGCTTTTTCGCACGCAGTCCTAAGGCACTACTGTGGCCCAACGACCATGGGCTGCAAAGGGCCAGCCTACCTGCGACCTTGGCAGTTACCGTTTCAAGCAAAGATGGGGCTGAAGGGATTGGTGGAGGCCGAGACTTAGCAAGTAAGGTTACGGAGTCAAAAAAGGTGAGTGTGCGATATAGGTCTCAAGATTTTGTTACCACGTTTCCAATTGAGGATGCCTTGCGTCAACTATCGCAACTTATTCTGATTAATGGGCTGCTTGACGACAAGGATTCACATTCAATTTTTTAGTTTGGACAGCCGTTGCTTCCAAGTCCTGGAGGCTGTTGACGAACGCTGAGACATGTCCCGGGGTGGAGAAGGTGTCCATCTCATCCCCAAGACCTGAGCTGGGATTGGTGTCTGGTGTGACTTTGACTGCTTCTGATATCCTGGACGTGAAGGATGCACCGGATTTGATGCCACCGCATGGCATCTTCATGGTTAAGGGGTGGTCGCGCTCCGTGGCGGCTATTGCAATCATGGCCTGTGCGTGGACTACCCCAAGCTTCCGCGAGGCCAGGTTGAATGCAGAATGTGTCAGTTCTGCTGCAAATCAGTCAAAAAGTTTCCAGGAGTGGCCCGTCGATCTTCAAAAGCCCTGTGTTGGCAATCATGACACTTCTTTTCGCTGTGTTGGAAGGAAGTTTGATCTGCTTGGTTGCGTTTTTTTCTTCGCGCGATTTGATATTTTGTTGGAGTGAGAGTGCCACTGTTGGCTGTGTGCAACAAGGGGGTTTGCGACCATTCACGGCACAGTGACAGTGGTGGCCGGGGTGGAAAACGCGATGGGGCTTGTAGAATTGAATCGGGGAGTCTTTGGCTTCGCTACGAAACGTGTCGCTTCAATTTGTTGTGATTTGTAATGTATTGGATTTTGCGGTGTGGGGTTGATGCGCCCAGGAATCACGCTGGGCAGTCAAGTCCAAAGGCGGCCGAACGCGTTCAATCTACTACATCAGATGACGATCATGGAGAAGATCAAGCCTGATTGCAACGGTGACTTGCAGGTTTGGCGCTGTTGACGCTGAGGTGTCAAATAATTGCTTGTTTGCTGCCCCACTGCCCTTGACCCCAGGCATGCTTCAGTTCTTCCCAGCAGCTGGCCGATGCGTACTAGTTGGGGCGCGGGGAGGCTGGCGCCGCCTTCAATTTGATGCGCAAGTGCACCCCCAAGGTCACCTCGTCGTTGCAAGAGATGGTCAAGTCTTCCGGCGCGCAGTATGTTTGTGTCATTTGCATTGGGCCCAACCGCCCGCATCCTTCCTGTCACGGCAGACTAGTTCCAAACTGAGGAAGTACACGATGATTAAGTTCATCACCCATGATGCCATTGCCAACAACATATTCAATCAGGACTTCTGTTCAACCACCCCCGGAATCCAGTCATGGGAAAAAGAACTGACTACCACGCCTGCGCTTAGCGACCTGTTCCTCAAGCGTATTTGCAGCGACTATGAGAACTTACACCCCAAGATGCGAAAGGCATATGCGCTGAAAGATTTGGAACCTCAGCCGATTTTTTTTTCACTTTTTTGGAAAAGGGGTGTCATGGTCGGTAGCGCAACAGTTTTGTCAGCTTTAATGATTGATAAGGAACCGATCCACCGCTCATGTGGTGCCTATTTAGCTGCAGTTGAGTCTGTTCGATCCAAGCTGCCAACTGATTTCTGCAACCGTGAATACCCTCAAATGGAGAAAGCGTTTCGTGGCTTTGAGATTGTCGGGCACAGTGGGTTCTTGCAATTTGTCGGGTTTATTCGCCGATTTGCGAAGTGATTGCTTACACCTTGAGGTTCTTGTGCAAGCACGCTGACGGCGAGCTTTTGCAAGCGTTAGAAACATCAGTTCCGCCGTTGGATGTCAGCACCATCGCCATTTTTCGCCCGTCTTTGAGCCGCTACGAGAAACAGGTGCCTTGAGTGACGAGGATTCTATAGCAGACTCAGAATGTATATAATATAATGCACCAACCATTCTATTCATTGTTGTAGTCAATTTGGCGCGCAGGTGGCCGACATCAAGGTCAAGGATGATGAGAAGCGACTTGGCTACCTCTTAGTTCTATGCTACAGTTTAAGATGGCAAGTCAGGCTGTCTCACATGTTTGAAACCTCGAAGGTATGCTGAAGCGGTGGCCCGTGCGACTTTCACTCACTTGGAGCAACAGCTCAAGTCAGACCTGGCTTTGATGGAGAATTTCCTCGAACAAAAAGCCATCCACTCCAAGAGACAGGCGAGACTTTTCTTTCTAAGAGGAGTTCCCACCTGACCTGACTGCCAAATTTCCATGTGGATTGGGTCATGGAATCTGAGCCCCTCAAATCCAGCTTGGCCCCTCCAACTAGTGGGTTTTTTTGGCAGGTAACGTAGGATTTGCTTTTCATATTGAAACGTTTTCTTCCTATTCAGATTTTGTGGTGTACTTTGAGACCAGGGGGCCCTGGACGTGAAGTACCTTGCACAGCGCTATGCCAAAGGGCAGGACTTTGTCAACAAGTTTCTCCACGAGAAGCGCCGGTATGTTGACGCTAGTTCCACTGACCGCCAAGCTGACCTTCTGTCTTCCCAGCACGAGGTCAGTGATAGTGACCACAACACCCCACAGTTTCTAAGCTCACTTTATGAATGACAAGTCTCTCAAAATTGTGTTCTATTTTTTTGCTATTTCCATTGTTGGATGATTGCAACCTTCATTGTTCCATTCTTCCCGATTCCAGTTTTGAACTGGCCACGAGGATGACAATTTTCATCGTGGATGCCACTGTCATGCCCCGGCGCATCTTGGATGCACGGATAGAGGCTGCTGGCAGGGTGTTTGTTGAGCTGCGCAGTGCCATTGTTTGTTGACTGTGCTACTTGCCAAGTCTTGGTCAGAGTGGACTCACTGTCAGGCCCACTTGCCCTCGACGAGGCCACAGAGTTCTGCAAGAACATCGCCAACACAAACCCCGCAGCAGCCGCTTTTGCCTTGTTTCCGATCGTTCATCAGTCAACAGACCGCGCTGCAGTTGTGCTCAATCGGAGGGCCATTGAGGACAAGCTTATGACGCGCCTTGCCTCATGATTTGAGTGTGCATGGTGTTCACAGGTGGCCTTGTGCTTGGGCCCTGTTTGATTTGTTTGTTGACTTCTGAACATTGACTTGATGGTTTTATGTGCTTCAAGGAGCTTGGAATTGAGTGATGTATCCATGACATTCATGGACAGCAACCATGCTGGAGACAGAAGGAAGCTTTCTCAATCAGGTACCTCAAACAAATCAATAAAGGATGCACAGTGTGTTTGCCCGATTTGTGGTTTCAATAAAGGAAAACATTGTTTGGCCAAGGATGCATTGCCGTAAGCTCTGTCCACAAGGCCCCTACCTTTATGAAGTCACAGGCCTTTCTCGGACATTTGGGAGAGCTTTGCCGCGCGCGTGTCTCCGAACTCGTGAGCGACGACCCAGACCACCCTCCCTCACCAGCCCAGAGGGTGTTTTGGCTTGTCAAACGTTAAGTGCAAATTGCAATCGCATATTGTCATTATTGTGATGTATAGCAGTGTGATGGCATCTAACAAACAGGCTGCTTCTTTACTTTGAGGCTCAGCAGCGTGGCGTCAAAGCGACGCAACAAATTTTGGAAGGCTTGGTGGCCGGCCTGAACTTGCCAAGTGATACGAAGGTGTTTGTGGTGGATACGCTTCCCAACAAGTGCCCCAATGGAAAGCTGAATGCTGATGATGATGATGTACCGTTTCCATCTGGACCATTTCATTAAAGTAGTTATCAAGGAAGGAATCCGAAGCCATCAGGTACAACGAGTTCGGCCGAGCTACCTGGGCTCTTCAATGCGAGTACTTGAAGACCAACTTTGGGCCTGACTGGCGTTTCTGTGCGTATGGCTCGAGTGATGATGGCTTTGATGTGAAGCGCCTTTCTGGAAGCATCGGCGGACAAGTCCTTCGCGCCACACCCTCAGTTCTTGTCCAATACTACAGCGGGCAAATTTGGTGTTTGTTGAACTCTATTCTTGTGGGCAGTGTTCATTTTCAATGTTTTGTAGGACTACTGGGATTCAACTTCTGAAGCCGGTCCAGCCCATCGACCTGACAATCCGTTTTCGGAGCCAACACCTTCCTTGAAAGTGTTATCTTTCAATGGAGGGCCGGTGTCGAAACTTTGCTAAATCTTGGCTTGTATGTGAACCACATGCCTTGTGGACTGACCTTCACTCATGAGGATTCCACCTGCTGTGATGGACAAATTGGCCGAGCCCCATACACAAACGTTCGTCGACGCTGTGAAGTCTTTCAATGAAAGTCACCGCTTGTTGAGTGGTGAGAGTGCAGGGGCAACCACCACATCACCGACCAAACCTACGGGCGCACCGCGCACTGTATGCCGACCAACCTTCACTGCAGACAACAGCCCGATCAATGTGGCCAGGCGAATTCACCCTACTATGCTTCCCAAGGAAGATTTTGAATCTGCGCATGAGCGCCTAGATTTCAAACTAGTATTCATTGTCATGTGAAATGCGTGTCCATTTCAAGCTCATGTGTGGGAGCTCCTTCTTGTTCTGAGGCCTGCTTTCCGCTGCGATGCAATTTGTAATGCCTCCGTGCTAGTGGTGATCACTAAAACGGATGAAATTTGGCTTGTCAACAAGGGAAGTGACACCCTCGACTTGATTGGGGGGGGGAGTTGTTCGGCTTCAACGTTGGATCTTTCGCAGAAGCTGCTACAGGCCTACCATGAAACGTTTGTGTGGTGAGTTCAATGTCGCCATTGGTTGTATGTCATTGTCATGCTTTCTCAGATGGGAGTTGCTGAGACACAAGCTCGTATTTTGCAGGTGTCGCTCGTGCTGAGTCCAATGACGGCATCCCTTGGATCATGGATTCCGATACAGCCTTGATGGTTGTTCACGATAGTGCTTCTGGCCACAAGACAGTGAAATGCCTTGCCGACGCTTGCTGTGACCTTGCCACCAGCCACGGAATCACTGAGCTGCAGATTGTAGACCATGATTTATCTCAGATTGTCGAGGACTGCGTTTGTGCCAAGTCGATTGACATGAACACTGTAAACTCATTTCGCCACGTGTTGAATCGCGTTGACAAAGCAGGACGGGCAAGCGCAGGCCTTTCGGTATACAGTGAGCGCCAAGACCAAAGTGAACGTTTTCACTCCGAAGAGTGTGGTGAACCCTGGCTTGGATGTTCGAAGCACTGTGATTGGCGCCTGCCTGAAGGGTAAATTCAAGAAACTCTCTGGCAACACGCAGTGCCAACTGCTGTGGGAGGCCGGGCGCGTGTTTGCCCTCGACTCGTTTCTACTGCGCCGTCTTTCAAGGGGTTGTCTCTTGTCAGGTGAAGCTGGAGAACAACATGCCAGCCGTATTGTCCCCATTCAAGCCCAAGCTGCATTTAACTTGCAGTTTCAACTTGCCGGCCAACACGGCCGCTCAGATCTTGGCGTGAACCAGGCTTCGCCTGAAGCTGAGATGCATTTAGGAGCAGTCAACGGTCCCTTAGGTTCGGGACATTGGCTGATAGGAAGACAGCGCTCTGCTGATGAAACCTTGCTTTCGTGCTGCTTGGGAGGCTGTGTGCGACGGTGTGTATGTCATGAAATGATCATTCCAGTTTGCTGTGCAACTGTTACTTGTCTTGCAGGTTTTCAGGCAGCTGTTTGTAGTTTTTTGGTAGGATCCTGTCCCTGGCCCTGTAGCTTGCATGCCACTTCCTGCTGTGACAGAACTTTCGGACGAAGAACCGCAAGAGCCAATAAAGCCTAAGGCCAAGGCCAAAACGAAACTTGAACCAAAGCCAAAGCCCGTTCCCACTGTTGCGGAAAAGGTCTTGCCCCAGAAAAGGACCGCTCCTGAGTCAGAGAAGTCAGCCAAGCCAGCCGAGCCAGCCAAGCAAGCCGTTTTGAAAAGGCCTGCTGCCAAAGCGAAGGCAACCTCCAAGGCAACCCCCAAGCCTCAACCACAAAATACAAAGCCGAAGTCGCAGGGTAAAGCTTACAAGTGCCTGTACAAGAGAAACGGTGTGTGGGGGATCAAAAGGGATGGCACGCAAATGGTGACTGCCAGGTCCCCAGGTCCAGGAAAGTATTCATAGCGGTGTCCAGCTTTTGACAGTTGTTCTGGGTGCGCCTTGCCGCGCTCTCCAAAAGGGTCATCCTTCAGGTCAAACCCGCAGAGGGATTGTCTGCAGAGAAGCTTTTGGACATTGCTGTTACTCACCTTATTTTGCGAAGGCTTGCGATTTACTTGTTGTTTGTCCACTCAATGTCAACAAACCTTGATGGTTTTCGATTTTATTGACAAACCTCCGAGGAACTGGTCCGACTCGAAGTAGAGAAAGGATGTGACAAGGAAGCAGCCCGTGCTTTGTGCGACCCTTGTCAGAAAGTCTGGGCCCATTCTGTCACTGTTCACTGTTCTTCTGCTACGAATTGAATGACAACCTTTAAGGACAGTCTGATCGAGGCTGCCCAAAGTGCGGCTGGTGTGGGTACAACGGCTGCTGCTGTTCCTGGTGAGTCTGTGCCCACCGCCGATGCGGATTTGAATGCGGAAGGCCAAAACGGCCAGGATGATGAAGGAGGTGAGGAAGAAACGGCTGAGATGGACCAGCCTGTTGCCCCTCAGGATGTGGAATAGAGAACTTACTGTCACCGTGGCCGCCTGTGAGAAAAAGGAATCACCTGTGGTGCAGTGCAAGTTGAACTGTCCTTGAAGGGTTTTGTGTTTCCAGGTCTTTCCCTTTTCGTTTTTCCGCCTCCAGTGCACTCAATTCTAAGAGCGCGGATACAAACGAAACACCAGCAAAGCGTTGAATGCAAACGGCCACCCACATCCATGTGTACCAAAAAAAGAAACGTGTCGACAACGTTGGGATTTGGCGTATGTTCATGAGATTGTGAAGCGTGCTTTGCTACAGAGCTCCCTTCATTCAGACCACCCGCCCACCTGACCCCCAACCCGAACACCACACATTTTTTTAATTTATAACTTCTCATGGGCGCAGTCCTCAAAAAACAAAATTGGTTGGGTGTAGCCAAGTATTGAATAAGAGGCTCAAGGCTGAGTTGCCAATCGCCCACCCGAACTGTGTGGTTGACTGCTGGCATTGAGTGTGAGTGACTTGACAAATAAGTCATTGCAGTGAGACACCCCTGGCCATTAGACGCCGCAAGGACTTGACAAGCAGGTCATTGGCGCCAAATCATATGCCATC